AGGGAGGGAGGGAGGGAAAAGAAAAACTAAGACTTCACAAAAACCTTGGGTTATTCTCTCTTTCCAACAAGGGGCAATAATACATGAAGGTTCTTATTCCCTGCCCCCCCCCCTTCAATTTTATGCCTATGCCTATATTTTCCTTGGGAATGAATCTGAGCTATACTGTGAAATCCCATGCTACCTACTGCTCTTTTATGCTTCAACTAGCTTCAAGTTTGTTGATCATTAACTGTCACTGAAGTTCATGATTAGTCTTTTGGGATTAAAATACTGAAGATTGCTTGGTTTAGGACACAGAAATATGTTTGTGAGGAAGGTATTTGATTTACTACTGTCTTTCTTCCCATACTTATTATTTTTTTCTTTTGCCATCTCAGTTTTCATATCAGCAAATATAAAGCATGCTTTTTTTTTATTTTCAGGTCTAGATGTTGATGGAATATATCGAGTTAGTGGCAATCTGGCGACAATACAGAAACTAAGATTTATCGTCAACCAAGGTAAGTGATTTCTTCACTTCAGAGATTTTTTTAGTAGTTTCATCTCTACCAATATTTCTGATTCTGTGCTGTAGGCATTGTGAATGTATAATGATAAAAGTGTTGAAGAGAGAAAAAGAACGTTAAAAAAGTAAACAATTATTACCAGAGAAGCAAAAGATACTTTACATGAAATTAAATAGAATAGAGGGACCAACTAATAGTTTATGTGAAATATATAATGAGAGGGATATGGCAAACTAAAAATGGAGAAGAGGCCCAGCTGGTGTGGCTCAGTGGTTGAGCATTAACCTATGACCCAGGTTATGGTTCGATTCCCAGTCAGGACACATGCCCTGGTTACGGGCTTGATTCCTAGTAGGGGGCATGTAGGAAGCAGCCAATCAATGATGCCCTGTCATCATTGATGTTTCTATCTCTCTCTTCCTCTCTGAAATCAATAAAAATATATATTAAAATAATGGAGAAGAGAATAATAAAAGAATAAAAGCAAGAAAAAATAACCTAACATCTAAAAGTGTTACTGGCATATAACAGACACTTGATATATGTTGATTTAATAAATGAATGACTGAATGATAGAAAACATCAGAGTCAAAATCATAGATGTTAGAAAAATATATATCCATGAGTAAAAGGATTAAAAATTAGGAAATGCATATGCCCTTAAAGTATTACAAATGAAAGCAATAATGTGATATAATTACACAGCTATTACAATATCTAAAATCTGAAACACTGACAACTCCAAATGCTGGCAAGTATGGGAGCAACAAGAACTCACATTCACTGCTGGGGAAATACAAAATGGTACAGACACTTTGAAAGATAGTTTGGCAGTTTCTTATGAAAATAAACATACTGTATTATGTTTGCATGTGGTATGGATATTCTTACCATCAGACACAGCAATTGCACTCTTTGGTATTTACCCAAATGAGTACAATATGTCCACACAAAAACTTGCACACACATTTTTGAAGCAGCTTTATTTGTGATTGGTAAAATTTGAAAGCAACCAAGATGACCACCAATCCGTGAGTCGATAAACAAACCATGGCATATCCATATAATGGAATATTATTCAGTGATAAAAAGAAATAAGCTATCACACCATAAAAAGACTTGGAAGAACCGTAAATGCATAGTGCTAAGTGAAAGGAACTGGTCTGAAAAGGAGACGTACTAAGTTATCCCAACTGTATGACAATCTGGAAAAGGCAAAGTTATGCACAATAGCAGTTCAGAGGCTGCAGAAGACTGGGGTGTTGGAGTAGGGGAGAAGGGATGAATAGGTGAACACAGGGGCCTTGAAACTATTCTGTTTTCATATTGGAATGGTGAATACATTACATTGTGTTTGTCAATACCTATATAATGCTCAACACAAAGAGTAAAATTAACGTTAACTGTGGACTTAGGTTAATAATAAAGTATCAATATTGACTCATCAGTTGTAACAAATGTACCACACTAATGCAAGATGTTCATAATACAGAAAACCCGGATGTTTTCTGTATCAAGCTGCTGTATTACTTACTGTCTTTGCATACTCTCTTTCCTCTATGTTCAATATCCTCATGTTTTCTTTTCTACCCCACATACACAAGCTTCCTACCTAGTAAATTATTCCTTATTTTTTCAAGGCCAAATTATAAATAATTTCCTCCTGGGTTCCTATTTCACTGGGCAGTTGAATTTACTGTAGTACACACTCATGTAACTTCTAAAATTTCATTTCCTACAAGACCCAGAGATATAATGCCATCTTTTGGAGAAAATGTTATAAAATGTACGCAGTGATTATGTTTTACAAGCGCTAAAATCTGAAAGTCTTGGATTGAAAAAATAAGATATTGGTTGAAATATCTGCCTCTTACACAAATCTTAATACACCTAATAAGGTAAGACCTGACTCACCCTTGAGTCTTCCTCCATTAACCAGTAGTAGCCAAGGGTCTCCACAGAGGAAATTCTTAATTAATATTTATTGAATTACATGTGTGTGTTGCACATAGAAATTGTATTACTGAGAATCATTAAACTCTCCAGCAGTTCAACTCGGGTTGAATCACCCTTTTAAGTGTTGACTGCAGTGCTTTTGACCAGTGACCACATGACTCATTTCTGAGAATCTTCACAGCTCTCGCTTGCTCACTAATGTGCACCTTTGCCTTTCACAATTACTCTCCTTCTTGGGGGGAAAATTGAACTAGATTTTACCTCAGTTGCTCATATTGTCCCCATTAGACTGACCCAAAGCACCCCCTCTTTGGGTAAAAATTAGATAAAATAGCCCCGGCCTTATTTTCATTTCTGTTTATAACCAGCTAAAATTGCTTTTGCAATATATTTCAGACTGAAACCATATCCTGATTGGAATTCTAGACAGCTGGGCAACACATTTCTTCTACAAAGAAGAAATCTCAAAACAGAAGCCATGGTAGAAACAAACACTAGTTGCATTTCCTGCCTTAAAAAAAAATTATGCTCAGCAGTTTGAAAAGGCAAGAAAAAAAAATCTGCAGTGAACATATAAAATCTGTCCATCTTGTCTTTTGCAATCCAAACTTCAGCGTCCTTTGAGGCTGTGTAACTGCTCATGTTTCCATAAGAGTTGACAACATAAAGCTGGACAGAGGCCTGGGTTGGTATCTGGTAGCACAGAATTGTCAGTAAACTGTCTTCCTGGTTTATAGCACTGTCAGAATGCAACACACTCAACACAAATTATTTCACATTAGGACCTTTGATACTGGTGGTTGTGTCCAAGTTGTGTTGTGGAGTTTTTTGAATTAGATGATAAAAGAATTGCATATACCAGCCTCTCTCAAGTTTTGCCAATCAGATTATCCTTTGAATGAAATGTTTGGAGTGGACCCATAACCTTGGTACAAACAGCATACCTTCCCCTCCATCTGTATGCAACCTGGGCTCTGACAGCAGAGCTGACTTAGAAGAGAATCAGTGCTGGGATACAAAGAGGTGGATGTGTACATCATGGCCTCCCGTGTGTGTGTGTGTGTGTGTGTGTGTGTGTGTGTGTGTGTGTGTGTGTGTGAAATGAAGTGGCAATGTGGTGATAATTCCATAAAAAGCATAAAGCGATATGTGAATGCAATGCATTCTTTTCTGTATTCAGAGATGGAACATGAATAATTTTGGCATGCTCTCTTTGTTTTAACACCTTTCATCTCCTCCATGTTCATAGTCCACAATGTTTCCTTTTTAGAAGGTCTAAATATACATGTTTAAAATGAACAGGCCTTATCTACCATTAGGCCAGACAAATGAAAACTGGTTTGGGGGATTTTCAAGAACAGTTCAGTTGCAATTTATGTATTTCACTAACTTTCTTGAATGCTATAATCATCAGCAATTCTAAATTCACCAGTTGAATGATTCAATTTGTTTTGGTTTTCTGTTTGACTCACTAAATCGGTAGGGATTGTATACCCTTATTATACTTCCAGATCAGATGGCATACAAGTTAAATTCAAAGTGATCACTTTTAAAAAGCATTTCCTAATTTTAACTGGTAATGGTGGTAATAATAGTTATTGTAAAAGTAGCTAATATTTTTCATAATTTATTATGTGGCAGGCACTGTACCAAGTGCTTTATGTATACAATTTAATTGAATCCTTTCTACCATCCCATAGAATAGGTACTATGATTGTTCCCATTTTAAAGATGCGGAAACTGAGGTTCAGTAGTGTTAAATAACATCCTAAGATCATACAGCAAGTGAGGGAGCCAGATCCCACGTCTCTGACTCAGAGCCTATGCTGAAGACCACTGCCATCATTCAGCATTTTTCCTTCCTTAGCTATTGATTACTGCCTTCTAAAAGTAGAGCTCGGTCTTTCTGTGCTACACACATTTATAAGTGACTTCCTGTTTACACCTACTTTCTGGCTAGTGAGTGACAAGTGCTGTCATAAGAGTTTGGCTAAAACTGTTCACGAAAGAGAGATGCTAGGGAAAGACCAAGCATTGTTATGAATAAGCCTGGCACTGCTGTTCTCTGATGGAGCTTTATAAAGCCATCTACCTTTGGACCAAGAAACTGCTTTAACACGATATTCTGTTGCAGCCTTCAGAAAAGGCATCAGGATTCTCAATTTACGGGGCTGTCATTGCATTAGCGAGCAGTGCTCTACCCTGTTTGGTGTATTTGGTGACAGCCGTCAGTGACATTCTGCTGATGCAACTCTCTCGCTCTGTGAGGGCATCCCCAAAGAACTCTTGTCCAGGACCTTAGATGTCAGCTTGTCATCAGCCTGTGACACTGAGTTGATTCTTCAGAATGATCTGTGACCTGATGCTTTTCTGCGTGAGGGTACAAGGACGGGCTTCAACATGAAGGATGCCTTGTAGCTGCCCTGAGAACTTTTGTTAGTGGGTCTTGGAAATCCCACCTGGCTGAATTCCCCTCCTCCTCACATCAACACTCTGGTTCGAGCTGCACATCTAGGCTTTTCCCCCCAACTCTAAATTCAGTTCGGACTCTCTGTGGTATTACTTAAACATTCTCTTTCACCTTGTAAAACGGGGAGAAGATAAACCAGCATCCTTTTCAGAAAACATTAGCTATGAAGCTCCTCAGGCCCATGAGCCAATGGGAGAACCATGAGGCAGGCATGAAGGGCAGACCGGGAATTTTCTAGACGGGAGGTGCCTAGTAAATAGTAATAAATATTCCCTCTAATCATTTCTCAGAAGGGGAGAAATTGCTTCTTATCAGGATTGTAGACATGTTTTCCATATATTAAAAAAAAGAAGATTCTAGGGACACTCTCCTCTACTTTTCACACCAGGAGGAACAAAACATCTAAATGTCATAGATCTCTCTACATGGCCAAGAATCTTAATTGGGTGTGTGGGTGTGTGTATGTGTGTATGTGCATATGATTGTGTGTGTTTTCAATGGAAGAGGGTTTTTTTTCCATTAATTTTCAGTCTTGCACTTTGCATATTTTTAATTCACCCAGATCTTA